ATATTTTGATAGATTATCATTTTAAGATAATTATTGCAAAATATTGTAACTATTTTTGTAAAAAAAACGAAAGTTACAGCACAATATGCCGAGCGTGACCCAGGACCCGATGTCACGTGTATAAACGAATGAACTTGTGTGCTCAGTTGATTAATGGGTTTCCTCTCACCTATCAAAACATTTTGGAAAAATGAAATCTTTTTAACTATTTTATTGAAATAATTTGTTTAAATTATGTCAGGAAAAGAATTATTGGTACTTTGAATATAAATAGTTTAAATTGCAACTTATTTAGCTGTAATAACTTTAATGTAATAATTAATTCTTATGGATAAATTTTTAAAAGAAAATGTTATAATGAATTATGCAAGCTCTAATTTTTAAAATTTTTGTATTTTTAACATGATAAAATGAAGATTAAAGTATGTATGTACAACAAGATAAAATAAATGTATTAAATTTATCACAATCGTTGCAAAATTTATTCAAAACTCCTTTTTTTACAGGCTTCTGTGTTGTTCCCCCGTAATTAGTTTACGCCACTATAGCAACACGGCGATAATTGTCGCGAAAAGTTCTACAAATGTCGCTGAAATCACACGCATAAGCGACAAATTTGTCGCCTTGAAATATGTTTGGAATTTACAAAATATTTATTAAAAAAAGTTCCCCTCCCCTAGAATTCCATGCATTTTAAAAGAATTGTTGTACTAATTTTATTGTTCTACGCTTGGTATGGAATTCAAACGCCTGATATTCAAAACGGTGTGGTACAAATTTTTTTAAATTTAAGTGTTAAAATTTCAAAATTTCATATTGTGCTGGTTGTGCTTTGCATTCATGTGCTGACTGTATAATTGTTCATGAACAAAACAATATTTGTTCTTTTTTTAGAATTGACATTTATTTAAAATTCTACAATTTTTAGATAATTAATTATTAATATAATATTTTGTTTGCTCTTACTTTCGATTTTTTCCTCACTTATGTTTCGATATTTGGTCTCAGCATTTTAATTTCTATGTTGAATCTATTTACTAATATTATTTTAGATTTTTTTTAAACATAATTTTAACACGTAACATTTAATAATTTTTGTTGAGTACCATAAAATAAATTATCTAATTGTAATGTTCAATTTTTTCCCGCAAGTTTGTCTAGCATATTAAGTTTTTTGACCACTAAATGAGTACCTTGGTAGTCCCATAGGACCATTAAATTTCCTTTCCTTTTAATTAGCATATTTGAAATCTACCTCTTGAAACATAAAAAATGCGTGTTAATATAGATAATAAGAAGTTATTCAAAAGTTATCAAAATAGTTACTCTGGTGTTCTAAATATATTTATTTTTAACTTTTATTAACTAACATTTTAATAATTTTTATTTCATGGATAACTTATAATAATTTTTATTTTCAATTTAATAGTTTTTATATTGTATTTACCTACGAATAACTTTTAATTAATTTTGATTTGGTGCACTGCAAAATATTAATAATTTTTTCCTAAAAAATTAAATTAAAAATTTTTTTATTCAAATATTTGAAATGTTCATAGATAATTTTTAATTTTTATTTCATGCTTCTAAAAAAGTCCTCTAAATTAGAGGTTCCCAATTTTTTCGGACCTTAAAAAATCAACCTCTTTTCGGTGGAACCCCAATTTTATAAATAAAGTTAATTAAAGTTGATAAATAAAGTTAAAGTTGTGAATGTTGTAACCTATAAAAGACTACTTTAAAAATATTTAATTAGAGAAATGAAGAATTTTCATGTTCTATGATTAATTATCTTAAATTAGTTTTTATGTCCGGAAATTAAATTTGCAGTTCTTGAGCTATATAAATTTATTTTTGGTGCGTATAAATACCTTGAAGATGAATAGATTAATCAAACTTTAGTTTATTTTGAATTGAAAGCCTGGAAGAACTGTTAAGCAGCGTTGAAAAGGGTTTCAAAAGAAAAAAATTTCTGTATTAAAAGAATTAAGTTATTTTGATTTGAAAAGCGCCTTAAAAAATACATATGCAATATTTTTTTTAAATGCTTGTTCTTTTCATAATTTGTTCAATGTATTTTTTTAGAAATGCAATTTTTGATACATTTGCATTTTATTTAAAATAATTACACTCAGGCTACCGAAAGATTAAACAAATTATGAATTTAAGGTTGGATCTAAATATAATCAGAGGTTTCAACACTCATCCCTGGTTATAAAAAGTACCAACTCGCGGAACCCCTCAAACTCTTCCACGGAGCCCTAGGGTTCCGCGGAACATTATTTGGGAACCGCTGCTCTAAATCACCCAAATCTCAAGTAACAGCTGAATGTTGTTATTATCAAATTGTTTTGATGTCTTCTGTTAGACTTAAAAGCTTAATAACATCTGTTTCTGACAAAGTCACATTCACGTAATCATTCAAGGACAGATAAAGTTGAGCTTAAGATGTTTTGTTCTAAAATAAATGTTATCAGAAAATTTCGGAAAATAGCTTATATTTTTATAATCTACTATGTGACCCATGTGTTTTTGACTCGTCATATTCTAATACTTTCAACTCAAATTATATTAAAATATTTCTTTAATTGGAACTTATTCGTTAATTGTTGCTAAGCAAAGTTTAAATTACATTCAAAGATTACATACATTTACAGCTGCAAAATATAACTAATTAAAAATAATAATAATAAAAAAAGAATTCTAAAAAAAATTTCAAACAGCATTCGCCATAGCAACGCATGCGCACTGCTTACTCTCTTGAACACAGTTGAAAAGTATGATGACGTCCAAATAAGGTGAGCTCGCCATCGAGCACAAAACAACACCCATTTTTCAATGGGTAATAATAATATATATACAAAATAACAAATATTTAAATATTCTTATAAATAATTTTCATAAGATCAAAAACTTTTTTTTATCTTTCCATCTACAGAACCGGAGTTAGAATCGAGTTTTGGAAAATTTTCTTCCAACTCCGATTCCACAGTTCTAATATAATAATGTTCTAAAAAAATTTGTTTGTACTAAAAAAAACAGTAAAATAAATCTTTTAACATGAACTTTCTTTTTTTCCCAACAGTGAAATAATTTTATTTGTTTCCCTCGAGTTTAATGCGATGGGAAAAAAAACTTTCTTTATCGCCAATTCTTACAACTTCGATTAAGGTATTCAAAGGAATAATAATGGCAGTCCGTTTTGTTATTGACATGGAAAAGAAAAAAAAATTCCCTGTAACTGTCACAGATGAGTGAATCGCCGGGAAATCAGTGCCCTGTATGAGATAACAATAGATCTTAGTAAAGTGTTGGTGGTTACTCATCTGGCAACAACATTAGTCCGACATCTTGAAAACAAATAACTACGATGACCTTAATCGATTCAATTTGTTGCAACTCCTGCGCCCAACGGAAAGAGCCCAAAAATTAACATTTTAACTTTCTACTACTTTTTCTGGTGAAATTTCATAAATAAATAAATAAACCTAATTTAGCAATGTATTCGACGTTTGTAAGTTCTATTTTAAAATTTTTTTTCCATCTTTGCATTATTTGACGTGTTGAATATTTTACTGTTCTAAGTTAACACATTTTATTTTTTTATCAACATGCGTTTATGTTGTTGTTGACGTATGCCATTAAGGCAGAGGGGATGTGATTGTTCTTGTTTTCCGGTGGCGCCATCTATGGCCAAGAATTCGACTTCTGCCACACCCATACGTCACACCCGTTTATAGGGTGGACCCATTCATACATCCATTCATTCTTCCACAGATCGCAATTTTGGCCTGAATCAGAGAAAGATCAAACTCCGATTCAGTACCCCCAGAGATTTGATTTGTTATGAGAACATGGAGGACTTTGAGACTTGACAGATTTAACGTGCATCAGTCACCATTTAGTAGTCTTCGGCCGGCAGAGATCGAACCCACGACCACTTGGACATGGGCCCAGTGCCCTACCAACCAGGCTATCCCGGCCAACAACATGCGTTTATGAGAAACTCATTAGAGAGATTCAGCACTTTCACGTAGCATTTGAGAGATTTAGCACTGTCATGTAAAATAGAGAGATTTTGCGCTTTAACGCACGTAAGTTCTGCGCACGAGTTTTACAAAAGATCCTGAGGTTGTTCTTCAAGTTCTTACGCACTGGATGCTTCGTGAGAGTATTACGAGAGATATTATGAGAGAGATTTCAGATTCTCACGTAGCACCCCACACGCTCCCGTACATAAATTCAGGAGAACTCAGTAAAGAACTCATGTTTTATAGTAGCTGATGATATTACGTACGTGAGGCGAGTGCCATGTTACGTGAGATAGCAAAATTTCTGGATTAGAAATCTCTCTCGCGTAGCATTCCGTACCTAGTTATTGCTCTAGTTCTGTAGGGAACTTGAGTTGGGTTACTGCGCTGCACAGAGCTTCCGATACGTGAGCATGTGGTATCCTACATGAGAATGCGAAATCTCACCATTGATTCAATTCTCTGACTTCAACGGGTGCATGTGCGTCAATGATTCGTTAAATAACCAAGTCTAACTTTTTCGATCGAGTGGAATGATGTGCTGTCTGCATATTAAACATGTCGCAACTAACTGTTCTTCGTTGGTATTGTCTAAAAGTAAGGAAGGGTAGCTACCATCTCGAGCGTTGACTGCATCGTCTGATAACCAGTATCAAAATTGTCACTTAGTGGATTGAGATAAGCGTCCTTCCTGCTGGATTGAAGTACTAGAACACGAAATGTCTGGTTTACACTTATTGGGTGTTAAAAACAATTTCAAAGCGTAGAAGACCAGACTCAAATTGCTTGACTCTAGTTTACTTCGTTGAATTTCTTTTCATCTTAAACTTTTAAAAACCACTTTTCTAAAAGCGTGAGTTGAAACAATATTTTAAAAATATTTAAGAGACATCTCCAAAAATATTTTTCTGAAATGAATAATTACTCATCTTAAATGTGTCTAATCAGTTCCTTTTTTCCTTTTTGTAGGTGGCTGAGCTATTGAATCGTTGTTCCTGTCCTGCCCAATTCCCTATGATAAGAGTTGGAGATGGAAAATATCGTATAGGAGAAACACAACTTCTTATTTTCGTTAGGGTAAGTTAAGTTTCTCCTTGTACATAATGCAAGTCGTTGGCTGAAATTTCATCAAATAGTTATGAAATTATCACTTTGTAAGAAATGAGATTGTATCGGATGGACTAAACATGTTTTCACCCTTTTTCTCCTTAATAACCATAATCGTAAACAAACTTTATTGATTGCTTAAAATGCTGTTCCAATTAAAATTAGCTGTTTCAAGCATTTTCCAATTTACGTTAGCTACTTCAAATATTTTCCAATTGACAGTAACTGTTTTAAACATTTCCCAATTAACATTCGCATTTTTTTTAATACTCCCGTTCCTGTTTCTTGTAGCTGTATTTAAAACAGCTCCAAAAATAAGACAAATTTTTTCTTCCTATTTCTGCTCTTAAACAAGCATATATGAATTAAAAAAAATAATGGCAATTTTCATTAATTTCTCGTTGCTATGTTTCAAACTGCTTCAAGAATAAAAATATTTTCAGAAAAAAAATTTCTAACTTTTGCTTTTAAAAAAATTATCAAACAATAATTTGCACCGATTCCCCCAAGCCGTGTTTCATTTAAACTGAAATCTAAAATTTTCATTTAAAAAATCAAACTCTGTAATGAATATTTTGATTTTATTTAAGTTAAACTCTCTATATTGTCAAAAAAATTTAAAAAAAAGATGTAATAATGGTAAATTCGGCAGTTATAATTAATGATAGTTTATTTATGCTGCAATAAAAAAAATTACTTTAAAATAAAATGCTTTGTTATATAAAATCATTTGCTCTCTCAACGCCTAATAATTAAAGTATAAAACTAGCTGCTTCAAAAGTGTAAGTCTTCTGCTTTGTTCCAAAACAACTGAGATTGTTGCCCCAGAAATCGTCCTAAAACACCCAATAACATTACTTTCCATTGGAAAAAGTAGTATAAGTGTGTATTAAAGCTATTTTTTTTTCTAATTTAATAACAACTTAAAAGAACTACTACTGCATGCTTACTACTTCCTCATTTTTCTTCCGCTCGTCCATCTTTTATTCTATAAGTTCTCCATTTCTCTGTCTTATCATTTTACCTCTTCCGTTTTCTTTATCTTTTTGCGCCTCTTCCATTACATCTCATTATTTTCTTCGTACTCCTTTTAACAATACAATTGAATGCCTGAAAGTGACGTCATTGTAAGTAAATCCTGACATTTGTCAATTCAGAAGCCAATCAGGTTCGACACGCACGCGTGACGTCGGTTACAGTTATCCAATTAAATCTGATTTAAATCGCATGGTTATAGGCATAATCACTTCACTTCTGGAGCTGCAAGTACCCAATTTTAGACAACGTTCTCTTCTATATTTGATCACATATACTTTTAGTAATTTAATATCCTCCTCAATATACTACATTCATCTAATTGTTTCGATAAACATCTCGTAGTATCTCTATTGAGTCTAAACATATCGCCATTTCTCGATGAGCATTAATTATGAAACTTAGAAACTTGAAATTACGAGCGCGTGTAGAAAAAAGTATAATGAGTACGATGGAATGGAAAAAAAATTATATTCGAGAATTTTTAACTTTAAAACTTGTAGTAAAAAATGTTATGTGGGCCACTCTGCAACCCACAGGAAAGGAAATACAGAATTAAAATTTGACTTATAATTAAAAGTTAGGTGTGTAGAAAAATGCACAGAAAGTATGATAAAATTTTAAAAAAAAATGATTTTTGGTAATTAGTTCAAACTTGCCTTTAAAAAATGCCTTGTGGGCACATCATCGGGATTAAAATTGCATAGGAATTCATGCCCGGATATGTCGTCATACGCTACGGCTGGGGGTGCTTTCCTATAATGAACTGTTTTTTCCTGTGCCTCTGAAAAGTTCATAATATGGAAGCTCCCCTAGCAGCGTACAATGACATTTCTAGATATGGGTTTTTATGCAATCTTAATTATGATAATGTGCCTCAACTCCCATAGAAGTGTGTTGCAATATTTGCGCGACTCCTTGTCATAAAATTACACATTCGCACTTATTATTGCCTAAGCTTTATTTAAAAAAAAATATTTCACAAATGCTTGTAAAAACAATATTCAGAAATATTGATTTTTTTCACCACTGTCACGAATTCTGACTCGGAAAGTTTTCAGGACAAATAAAACATTTTAGAAAAATCTTTTTTTTTAACTTCATAATCTTTCAGAATCAATCCACAAACACATATTGATGATAGATCAAGCCATCAATTGATAGATATTTACTTAATTTAATAATGGAGATATTTGTAACCCCATGGGCAAAATTTGCTGAGTTTGCATCCGTTAATTTGAAATAATGATAAGGATGAAAAGTTTTGACATCTTAAATTATTTGATATTGTATGTTTCCAACATAAAGGAAGCAGCTATTAACATTGTGGCTAATGAGCTTGGAAATTCTTTCCAGGAAACGTTGTGGTTTTGTTGACTTTTTCCGTTTGTTGTTATAATTTTCTGGAAACATTTATTTTTACTCTCACTTCAAGCAAAACAAAGACTCATCCCTATTTTTCTCAATAAATAGAACCGCAAAAATTGTTTATTCTTTTCTTTCAACTATTGTATAATCTAAATTTCAACTTTTTCTTCTTCTTTTTCTTTTTAATCTTCTTTATGTTCCATTCTTATTGATTGAAATTTTAAGGGGTAAAATAATAATTGCAAAATTGTGGGACAAAAAATTTTTTCATGCTTAAACTATGTTTTTAGAATTTTGCATTTTGAGATTTTGTACTTTTTTAAAAAAAAATTTAAATCAATAATGATGTAATAATCACTCTATAAACCAGTCAGGCAGAAATTATTTTTTAGCAACTTTCAACAGTTGCACTAAATTTAAAAAAAAGTGAATAAACAATTAAAAAAGAACGTTCAATGGTGGATTTTTTTTTTGACTTACAAAATGGATTTGTTATGTCCAAATAGTTGTAATTAGAGTGCCTGTATTGTAAAGTTACTCTAGGCACTCTAGTTGTAATATATAATACTTGCCATTACATAATAACAGTGCCTTTTTTTTACTGACAACTATATTTTATTCATGACAATTTTCTTTTAATTGCGGCATATGTAAAATAGTTGTAATTTTATTTTTAATAACTCTATAAAAAAAAAACATTTTTCTTAAATTTATTTTTTAATTTTTTGTAAATCTGCATCAGCAGTGGGGATAGCTCCAATCCATTTGAGTTGGAAAACTCGATGATCCAATTATGTTTTAATCAAACTTATAATTTATTTCAGTTTTCCGAAACAAACAATTTTTAGAACATTTTACCAAATCTGCTTCATCATATTTCAAAACAGGTATTTTTCACAAAATTGTATTACCCTGGCTCTGAAGCAACTGAGTTTCGTTGCAAAGTGAAGAATTAGTCTGATGTAGGGTTCTCAACCTAACTTCAAACTTTATATCAAAGACCAACAATTTCTCAACATTAAATCAAGGATCATTCAAGGACAGTCTTAGGTGTTGCTAAGACATTTTATGAAATTTCTCTAAAATTTTCCTTCAGCATTTTTTCCCGACATCAGATTTTTCTTTGTGGTTTCGTAACATCTAACTTTTCTGAGAAGAAGTTTTCCTTAACTCCGTAGATTATTTTCTTTTATTTATTTTAAAATTAATATAGTTTTTTTAACCTTCATTATAAATGTTAAAAGAAACTTTACAACTAAATTTTGATTTTTTTTCATGAAATAAAACAAACTAAGAGCAGAATGAACAAAAGGAACAGAATAAACAAATAGTTTCATAGGAGAGTCATAAAGTCTCATCGATTTAAGTGTGGTGTTCAAATTCGTTCGTGACTCGAGGCATTGTGTTGATAAGTCCGCGATAGCTAGGGCTTTCACGTGGTGGGTTGCTGCTGCCATTTCTTTAAATAAGGAACCATATATATTTATATATGTTACTGTGGATGACGGAAATTGGTTTTTGTTGACCGGTGAATGTTGACAATCACATAGTCGCTTTGGTAAATGTCCGAAATATATACTAGGTCTTGTTAAGTGCCACTGCCCGATATACATTTGCCTGGTATGCCCTACATCAACGTTTTTTTAAGTTTAAGTGCCACTGCCCAGGTACTCTGAACACTGATGTATCTCCCAACCTATCCTCAGCAGATATTAAAATATAGAATAAATATAATAATATTAACGAATAAATTAATATCAAATCGCCTATAACAAATATTTCGGACATTCATCTAAGCGACTATGTGATTGTTGACATTCACCGGTGAAAGTCGACATTCTTTTGATTTTGGTCATTAATGGTAACATATATAATCAAAGGAGCCACGGTGGTATATTGTGATGGAGGCACTGAATTGTTATTGTGAAAAAACAAGGTTTTTCCTTTAAGCTCTATGATATTCTTTGGCGATAACCGGGGTAATTATTATATTTCAATACAGAGTTATTAAAAATAATAGGATTGATCAAATGATAATAAAGATTTATTAATTAATATATAATAGCGCCTAGAAAAATACTAATAAAAAATTAAATTTATATTTTACAACATATTTAACAACAAAAATATCTTATATTTAAAATAAAATCTATAGTTATTATAATTTATTGTTTATTTTGTCAAGGAGCTTTTGTGACCCATTTAAAAAATTCACGACCCATAGATAAAGGTAATCCCAGTTTTAAAAACAGCTAAATTTAAAAACTAAAACTTTTTTTTTTATCGGTTTAAGCCTTAGTTAACGAAACAAATCACCATTTCCGTTTATGGGTCATCTTTCTTGCGTAATTAAATATTCTTTTTTTAAACGCGTACTTCATGCTCCCATAATAACACCTCAATAAGAAGTTTTCTACATCAATAATTATTATTCAAAACCTCCTCAACCAATGATTGTTAAAGGCTTCCGCTGATAAGGTTAACTATTTTTCTTCTTATATTAAATCGTTTGTTTCAGATTCTTCGAAATCACGTGATGGTTCGTGTAGGGGGTGGATGGGATACCCTGGAACATTACCTGGATAAACATGATCCCTGCCGTTGCAAATCAGGTAAGTCTTATTTAATAACATAAATTAGTTTTTTTTAAAAAAATAAGTATTTATCAATCCTCAATATATTTTAAGTTTTTATATGTTTATAACGGAGTGTCTTGGTTGGTATTTGTAAATTTTGATATTTTTGAGATATATATTATTATATAGATATCTCTTTATCTATATAGCAAATTATATGTTTATGTAATTAATTAGAACTAATTACATAATTACTGAAAAACATAGATTTTTGCTAACGTTTGCTCTAATAGTAAGTAAAAGTGTTTTGTAATACTCGTGGCGAAAATACTCGAAGCACATTACCTTCATAATCTACGGATTAATTAGAGTGCCTCGTTAAAGTGCGGAATCAAGAGTTTTACGCAATCTATCATGGTATTGAGCGCGTTAACGATCTCCGTATCATAAAAATGTTAAAATTTCTCTTATCCTATCAACTAATTTTTTGATTATTTGATTTTTTTTAAAATTTAAACGATTGAAAACTTCTCGTGCACCACAAAGTATAGCACAAGGCTTACAGAAGTAAGTAGAAAACAAAAACAAGAAAATTTACATATTTGATTGTAGTGACTTTTTTTTTACAAACCGAAAATTAATAAATGACCTGATATCAATTTCCTTAATTGTAATAATATTTTAAACCCTTCGATTCTTTATATTATGAAGTGATTGATGATTGATTCTATCAATTAATGTGTTGATTGATTGTAGTTGCTTGATTTTTTTTTAAAAAGCTAAAAGTAAATGAATAACATTATATAAATTAAATATTGTTCCTGCATAGATCATATTTTCACTTTAATGAGTGCCTAGTCAATATTGTGCTCGATAGTTTACAGATTACCTTAGTAATTCGAAAAATGAAAAAAAAAATTTTATGGCTGCAGTTCCCAGTTTTTTTCTCCCGTGGTATCCTAAATTATAGAGATTTTTTTGGCGGTACCCCGAGAGTTAATGGATAAATTTCATCAGCAATTGTGAATACATTAATTAACGAAAGTCTATTAATTATTTTGAAAATATGTTATGATATAAATTTTATTAATGATTTTGAAAATATTTAGTGAATCATCATTTAGTTCCATTCTATCGTTTTATCAATACCCTTTTCAGAAATTTAAGGTATTTTTGAGGTTGTTTTGAGTTATAAAGGTTGATTTGAGGTTTATTCGAAGTTGATTTTGAAAAAAACTTAAAAATCAACCTCCCGAGGCGTATAATCAAAGTGTATGAAGTTGTTTTATTCACACTTGAGGTTGATGGAAATCTATTTTAGAGCAACCCAGCTTAGGGAGGTTGTTTTTGAGGTGAAAGGATCATTTTTTCAACACTTCAAGCAAATATGTATATTTGAGGTGTGAAAAATTTCACCCGATCTAAACCAAAATTATTTCTGGGTTATATGTGAGGTTGATTTTGTGAGGTGTAAATGAGGTTGAAATTTGAGTTTATTAATGAGGGTATTTTTTATACAAACCTCATTTTCTTCCTAGGGTATATTTTTGCATCTGTCTACTTCAAAACAATCTCAAAAACACCTTTTTTTTTTTTTTACTAAGGGATTAGTCTTAAAATTGGTTTATATGTCAGACAGTTGAATTCACAGGCCTGTCTGACAGGCAGCTTGTCCAGTTCTTCATTTAATTTTTAAATATGCATAAACTGAAAATGAAAGAACTGAAATATGGTTTACATTAAAATTAAAACGGAAAAGGGATAAAAAAAAAATTAACTGCGTTAAGAGAAACACACTTCTCCATTGTTGAATTTGGTTGTTTTTATTCGATCCGAAATGCTAATGAATTTTTCCTAATTTTCATAAATGAATATCTTGAGCCGCGACGGCTACAGGATAGAGCGTCCGCCTTCCAATAAGCTGAACCGGGTTCGTTTCCCAATTGATACGAATTCCGCATCCGGCTTGCACCGACCACAGTGCTGACGTGAAATATCCTCAGTGGTAGACGGATCATGGGTTAGAGTCCCCTTGCCGTCAGGCTAACCGTGGAAGGTTCTCATGGTCTTCCTCTCCATGTAGCGCAAATGCGGGTTAGCTCCATCAAAAAGTCCTCCACGAAGACAAATTTCTCCCAATACTTAATCCAGGAGTTCCCTTGTCTTTTGTATTGGGTTCAAAATTACAAGGCTTTTTCCTAATTCATTTATTATATTCTTATTAGAAAAATCATTGCTTTGTAATTTCTTTCTCCACAAGCATTTCAATTAAATCATTTCATAAGAATAACGAAAATATTAAATAAATAATGAATTATTAATTTGGATTTATATATTTTTACAGGCTTCGAAAATCTTTATTGTTAAAAAAATAAAAATTTCTAACTTTTGGAAGCCCTGTAACCCTTTCACGGAGCCTTAGGGTTCCGCAGAACACCATTTGGGGACCGCTGCTTTAACGGATCACCCTAATTATTAATCACCACATTAGCTAATAATTTGTAAAATAACTTATTTTTACACTGCAGCGGCTAATATTTTACAATGTACCCGTTTTTAATTCCAAACAAATATTATTTAACTTCAACTTGCTTTAAAGAATAATTTTGCAGCATAAAAGAAACAGTTCTAAGGATTTACGGTTATGCAATTCTCATGTTACCGTTAAGAGCGTTTCATGTGTCTCGTTTATTTAAACTTAAACGCATGTGACTTTAATGAATGGAAAAATGCTTTTCAGGTCGCCGCATCTCCGTCAACCGAGTGTCTCCGTCCAATTCAGGTTCCATACAGGTGCATCTGAATAGCCACAGGTAACTTTTATTTCCATTATAATATATCCCTTCTTTTTCTTTAACGATTCCCTTTTGAATACATTTAAAAGAGATTTAACACAAACAACACACCTAGATTGAGCAATAGTACTTCCATTGCCTTGGCATATCCATTTCGTTTAAGAAGACACTTTCAGAAGAAGCGCGCGATGTAGGTAAGTTTCAGATCTTTTGTAACTGCAACTGTAACCAAGCCTTAAAAATGTTCCAAATGACATCACATCAGGGATTAACTATGTTAAGTGATTAAACGTGAAATTCTTTCTTCTTATGTTGCTTATACTAATATTTTTGTTTCATTTGGTGATTTTGTAGATCAGATTGCTTATGTATCGGTGTTTTAAAGCTGTTTTAACCATTTGACGCCCTCTAATTGCGAGTTAAAATATATTTGGAATTTTTTAATTACATAAAATAAAACAATCTAATAGTTGCTAAAAAATCTGTTGGATTCTTGAAACTATATTTATTTTTTTAAAAGAAATATAATTTAAAATAAATGTAATTAAACAATTTAAAATAAATGTAATTAAATTATATTTATTTATTTCAAAATAAAAATAATTTCGAGTATAACTTTTTTTATACTCGATAAATATGACTTTTTTTATATTTTATATAAAATCCCAAAAAAATAAAAAAAGTAATTTGAAAAAAAAATTTCATTCATATTCAAAAATGTATTAATTATTTAAGTTATAAATTAAAGAAATTTCAATTATGAATTACTATTTCTTTTAGATCTAAATAACTGCAAATTTGAAGAATTATGGAATTATGGTTTGGGAAATTTTACCTTAAGCGCAAAAAAGAACACCTGTGTTCAAAGCTGTATTTCATACCCAAAAATTATTCAAATGCAAATTATAATATTTTCCACTTATTTTGACTTAAATTAGTACAAAATAATGAAAAAAGTTTGAAAAATAAATATATTTAATGAAAATTCTGCTTCAAAGAGTTTATAGTTGTTGATTATTTGAATTTACATTTTATATTAATAACATTGCAGTTATTGATTAGAATTTCTTGTTTTTCATTATTATAAATCATAATTCTGAAAATGAAGACATATATTTTTTAAAGATTTAGTTAATTACATTTAAATTTCTTTATTTATTTTCTTTAATGCTACGACTATTTTTAATACTACTACATTTTAAGATTTAGGTTGTTCTACTGACTTACGAAAGTTATATCAACAGTTTTTGATTATTCAGAATTACATTTTATGTTAAAGAGACGTAACTGGTATTAATTTAAAATTCATAATTGTCGATTATTATAATTCATGATTCCAGAAGGAAAGCTTGTAATTTATTAGATTTAGGTTGTTTTTCCTTTTCTTCAGACATTTAATTTTTTATCATATTTTTTTACTAGTGCTATTTTTGTCTACTTTTCCATTTGAAAATTTTGTTGTATCATTTGTTCTGTTTACATATCAATGTTTCAAAGTTATTGATTAAAATTCATAGTGTGAATTTTAACTAGTTGTACTTAAGGTATCCGACAATTTAGATTCTTTTATTATTATTATTATTATTATCCTTATTTGAACTTCAATTAACTAGTTTTCCAAAATCATTTAAATTTTTAGTCTACGGTTTTTAGAAATGAAAATAATTATTCTTTTTTTTTAAATGCTGACAAACTAAGACGAAACTGGAGGTTAAATCATGAAAACGAAACTAAAATGGTTTTTGCTATGTTTTGAGTATTTTAACCATTTTTTTTAATAAGTCATACTTTTTAGAACAAATAAAATTCATTTTTCAGAATTTCAATTTCGATTGGTATTTTATTTTTCCCAGAATTCTCTTCCATTTTAATTTATTTTTCGAAAATTTTGACAATATTTTTAATTCCATTTCATTACCTTTTTGAACTTTTTTTTAAGATTTTAGTTCAAAGCTCGGGCAATCACATTACTAATCTAGAAGGAAAAAATATTTTGTAATTTTTGCGTTACAATTTGTTGCAGAGCTGTTAACATGACATGAAAAATCTGTAGTTTTTAAGCTTGAATTTCTCAATTTTTAAAAAAAAATATTTTTGAAATTTTTAAACTTTACTTTAAATTTACAATTTTAGGAGCTTTCTTTGGAAAACATAAAATTAAAATTATAATTAAGCAATTAAAAAAATAGCCTCGAAACCACTCTGATACCTTAATGAAAAACATTATTTACATGTGATAATGATGATTACATTTGGTTTTATTCTCCTACCTGAAGATTTTGTATTATATAAGATAGTTACTTATGTATTGATTATTCAATGTTCTTCCGTAGTTGTTCATTAGTATATTTTTAATTAAAGTAATATTGCAGTTGTGTTGATTACTATAAATCATAATTTCGAAATAAAAACGTATATTTTAATAGAGATATTGGTGATTACATTTGAATTTATTCTATCATATTTTTTAATACTACTACTAATATTTTTCTAAATTACAGATTTTGCTTAAATATCGATATTTTTATTTAACTGTTGTTGAGTATTCAAAACTACATTTTAAATTAAGTAGTATCCCAATTGTGATTATTATAACAAATCGTCATTACAATAAAGTGGGCAAAATAGAAGAAAAAAAGGAACAAATGTAAAAATTTTAAATCAATGATCGTTTTTTCTTCTTTTAAACTTGATAATAATTTAACTTAAAATCATAGTAATTTAACAGGTTAACTTTAAATATTCTTTTCAATTTGTGCTGACGATATTTAAAAATCGAGAAACAGACTCAAAAGCTTAATTTATCTGAATAAAAATATCATTTTTTCTTCAGATTCGGATTTTATTTCCGGAAATTGTGGCGATCTGGAAAAAATGTTCCCAAATAGTTTATTCATGAGAGCGATCCAGAGATCTGACCTCTTAGTGTTAATTTAATTTTTTCAGTATTTCATCTTAATCGCTGGAACTATTTAATGGAGTCGTGAAATTTTTGTTTATATTTAAAATCTTATTTATTCAAGGATAGTCTCAAGGAAAAAAAATTTTAAAAAATATTATGATGTCGTATAGCTACTTTAAGCTGCAAATTTCTTCTGAGTATCAAATGGACCATCAATAGTAGTTGGAAAAAAATGCTTAATTGTAAGGGGAAAAAACGTTCCTTTATTTTCAACTAAGTAAATAAAATTAGTAAAAAGTCTAAACATTCTATTTTATAACCGTCGTTGAACAGCCGACCCAATTTTGAAATTACGACCACCAATGTTCAACTCCGTAGCCTTGTAATTAAAAAACCCAATTTAAAAGACAAAAGAACTCCTGGATCAAGTAGTGGGAGAAATTCGTCTTCGTGGAACTTTTTGAAGGTACTAACACGCATTTACGTTGCTAGGAGAAGAAAACCATGAAAATCTCCCACCTTTAGCTGACAGCAAGGGGACTTGTCTACCGCTGAGGATATTTTACGTCAGCACTGTGGTCGGTGTAAGCCGGGTGCGGAATTCGTATCGACCAGATTAGGCTGGGATTCGAACCAGGTTCACCTCATTGGGAGGCAAGCGCTCTATCCTGAACCGCCACGGCTCTGAGGCCAATATATATTTTTTTTAATCTATCCAATCACATCCAATATTTGAACGGAATCGGTCGAATAGATCTTAAAAAATGAAATGAAAATTTTGAACTATAGTTTCTTTGAAATTTTATTACGCAGAAACTATTTGGTCCATTTGAAGTGTCTTTGTTAGTTATTTTGTTAAGAATGAAAGACTTTATTCCTAACTAAAATTTAAAAAAAAAAAATCTAATATGGAATATTTTTTTTAAAATGCTGTATTATTTTTCTGATTTTAAAGATTCATGTGTTATTAAAATATCGCATTTCAAAACATTTTTTGGTTTTAAAACAACGATGTTGCAATAATCTTAAGGTTATGAAAAATTAAAATACTCATATTACTATGTTTCTTTATGATAAAAAAAATAATACAGATGACTTTTAAAGTGAAAATAACGCATTTTATTGTAGAAAACCATAAAATCATTTCACGGTTAACCTGGCAGCAATGTGAATCTGGCTTTAGCCAATATTTCGCCTGACTTTGAGAAAGCCATTACTTTAATGTTTATGAGGTAGTAGCAGTATTATCAACCATTTTCATCGCTGGAATTTGAATCTGGATCCCCTGGATTAGGAGTGAAGATAAATCCCTTTCGGCCCTCCAGCTTTATCATTGGATGTTTGGAATAATCACCTTTTTTATTGATTTCTAAACATAAATTTGAAATGCATGGACCTAACGGAAGTAAAGGCCTTGAGCATTAATCTCTGCCTACTAAAATAATTGTATATAACGAGCTGTTGCACCAATTTTCAAAATGTTGTGTGTGTCAAATACATTTGTTAATTTTTGAAATTTAACTTATTGATACATTTCTAATGGCATTCTTTTTTTTACAGACCATCGTCTGGCACGCCATCCTCTTCTAGGTCATCTAGCGTTCCTACATCCCCACCTTCACGCCGACGATCTTTCGATTGTTCCAGACTCAGTTCATCCGATGACAGGAACTCCTCCAGAAGCAGCAGCGACGACTGGGCGGCCCCGGCACTGCGCAGGGGGCGCGGCAAAAGCGGCCGGCCTAGTTCTGCAGACAGTTCTTCAGAAATATCCGAAACAGAGCTGTGCCGTGGCAATTCTGACTTCCTGCGACGTCAACGACGATACTCTCCGAGAAAAGTGATGAAATTCGGTGACAATACTTGCTCCGAAGACGCAGAGGACTCCTCTTTAGAGCCGCAGACGCTGGTGGCTCAACAGCAGAGGGCATCCCCATCACGAAGTCGGATACCAACTTCGCAATCACCATCACCTCAACATCGTTACCGCATGGTTGAGCCCATGGGAAAACGTCTTTCTGCCAGCAGGTCAGAAACGTCTCTTTTCCAGTCAGCTGTCAATCGTGGCAGCAGGACTCCGTGCCAAGGACCTCGCAGAGCTGTCCAAAGTGGAGGTGGACGACAAAGATCTTCTTCCTCTACTCGAAGTGTGTCATCCTCACCTGCTAGAACTCCTGAATGGAATCCCAAACGTAGGACACTTTCCCTTCAATCTTCGCCAGTAAAACCTGTGCCACCGCTATTAGAAGAAATAATCAATGACTCTGAGGTGCTTGACTCTGATGAAAAGATACTTGAAAGAATGCAGAGACTTATTAATGAATATAGGGCTAGAGAAGCTTCTCCCGATACGTCTTTAGCTGATGAATACCCCTCACCCATGAGACCCCTTTCAAAGACGATGAGAAGGAACTCTTTGTCAAAAATCCCTGTGCTGACGTGGAACTCCAGACAGTAATTGAAAGTAATAGGATCGTAATTATTTTCAAGGCGAGCTTAGACACGCCCGTCCGAGATGGTTCATGAGAGTTCTTTGCGTATGGTTGAGTTACATTTCAAGAGCTTTCCGTAAGAATTTAAGTGACATTTTAGTAAATTTGAGAAAATCCGTTTTAGGTTCTATAGAAACATGGATTTCATTTACAAAACATCTTTTTTTCATTAAGAATTTGTCTTACATCGCTATACTTATATTACAGTTGACATTAACATGCTCTTAAACCAGTAAGTTTGAATGTTTTTAAAACGTTATTTAATATGTTTTCCCACTAAGCTCTTAATTTATTGAAGTATTTTATAAACATCTTCATCTATAATTTCAATTATTAACATACCGGGTGACCCGAAAATGACCAATGGTTTTAAAATCAACTGGAGAAAAAAAAGAAAAAGTTCACGGTTTGCTGCTTTCTTCTTAATAAGCCAAAAAAGTTTTCTCTCATCAAATTTAGTTACTAAGTCCCTGAACAGACGGCGCGCTGAGAGGAAACTAAAAGAATGTTTTTTTACGGCAATGCCAGATCATTCTAATTAAAATGCTTACACAGGCTTTTTCTAATTTTGTCCTTAATAATTCACAACGTCGTTGCTATGAAAATTGGTCATTTTGAAAACATTGTTTGGTAGTTTTTCTTTATCAACAGCGAAATCTGTTGACGAATTTCGTAACTAATTTTTCAACTTGGAAAACAAGATTTCTGGCCTTCTAAACAGAATAGAATGCAGTAAGCCATACACATCCATTTCTTTCTGTTTTTTTTTTTTTTTTTTTACAAATTGAGTTTTTTGACTTGTCGGTCACTTTTTGGACACCCAATAAGCTTTCATGTTATTCATAAACATTTTAAAAGTTACGTTAAAAAATGTTACTGCCACCAGGGATAAACTAACTTGATTAAACCTGTTAAGTCATAAAGAGTAATAATGATTGAGTTCGCTAAAAAAATCGTGTTATATGTTTTTAACAAATATATTTAAACAATGGAACTTGTTGAGTAACTAACCTTTTTTCTAAACTATAATTCAATTCTAATTATTTTCTTATCCTCCCTAATTATTTTCTTATATCTTACATATTTATTATAATCTTATTGTTAATTATTATGAATTGTTATTACCAGTGGCGTAAAAAACACCCCCGCGATTCCTAAAGTGCTGGGGGGTGCATGAGGTTTAACGGAGGACTATCCAGAAATAATTCACTATATACACTACACCTACAGCCCGCCAGCTCTGGCCGTGCGGCCCGCGGTTGCACCTGAACATAGAAATAATAATAATAATTTATTATAATTTATTTTTGAAAAATATAAAAATCAGACATTTTGAATTGCGCATTAAAAGTTTCGGATGCGCCATATTTTTTTCAATTATATTTTACCTATATTTTTTTCTATGAATTTTTTTTATTTACTTTACAAATAAAAATAACTTCTAACTAAACTTTGAATATAATTATTATAAGATAGTGAGTTATTTTATCATATTTTAAAGATTAATTGCCAGGGGTCTGTCTAGAAGAAATTTGGGTCCTTCACAAAATATCTTTTTATGAAAACAGACCCTTCACAAAATATTTTAACTTAAAAACGGACCCTTCACAGAATAATTTATCTTTTAATCGGACCCTTCACAAATTTGTTTATCTTCATTATTGTTTTGTTAATCGAATAAATCCTTCTCGGCAAGGGGGGGGGGGAGAAAGACAAATGTAAACGAACTAAGTTTTGTCCTCGGCAGAAGCTCCTTCCTTCATTCGTCCGAAATGAATATTCTGCGTTCAGCAGTATAGGCTAAATACCAAATATTTATATATTGCATCGCTAATTTAGTAGCTGCAATTGCTGTTTATTTTTTAAAATTTAATTTTTTTAATTATAATTTTACAGTCTTGAGCATAATCTTGTATGTCTTTACAATTTAAAAACTCCTTGAAAAAGTTTCTTTGCAATAACGAACCCTATTTGCACAAATTCACAAAACGGACCCTGGTTGAAATAATGTGACTTAACGTTTATTTGATATTCACAAATTACGAATAATTTTTCTCAATTTTACAAAAACGAACCTTTCACAAAATGTCTGGACAGACCCCTGATTGCATTTCAAATGTGGTAAGTGTATACAATGTTCCAATTTAGTTCCTTTTTTTTAATTTTCGAACCTTTTTTTTAATTAAAATGAAATGAATGATTATAAATACCCGAATGTCTCTTCCTTGTGTTCATTTTATATTATAATTTTAAAAAAAATTGTGTTAAGTTTAAGAAAGGGCGCATTTTTAACGCTTGCAAGGGGCGCACCTAAGTCTTTGTACGCCACTGGTTATTACGTAAAATCTAAAAAACCAACAATTATATGAAAAGATGCCTTTTCCTCTGTTATTTAAATTGTTGGCATTGAATTTGGTAATTTTAATCCCAATTCTAATGCTATTGTTACTATTTATAGTTATGTATAAGATGAAAAGCCATTGTTTTCTCTTGTTAATTGAATTAATCACTTTAACTCTCTTTTATTATGCTATTGTTACTATGATGTTTACCTAAATTTTGAATAGGCAGCTGACATGTATGATGCCTTCCTATGTTAACTGATTAGGCCACTTGATTCCTGTGTTAATTGTCTAATTCTAACTAAAATGCCATTGTTAATGTTAATGTAGTTACATTTTATTGCATATAGTCTATTTAGTAATCCCTCTAATTGAATATTTTTAATTCTGTGTAATATTTGTATTATTCTAATATTTTGTGTATCCTAATATATTTGATCATTATTACATTTTGCACTAATACAATTTAATGCTAACTAATTTTTCGTTGTATGTTTTAAAAAATATATTGTTAGTCTCAAATAACTCATATTTCAAAATATTATGTTATTACTAATTTATTTAATTAATAGTTTATTATTTAATTAATAATTAATCAAGTATCATATTTGAGAGAAAGTATTATTGTACTATTGATTTCAAATTCATGCGGGTAGAGGTCAATTATTTCTATAAAATTCACACATTTTATTCACTCCTTTATTTTTTACTTAAGATTGCAATTAAATTGTTTTCTAATAGCAATTGTGATCATAATAATGGTAATAATTGCACCTCTATTTAAAAACCTCCATTCTCCCATATTCTCAAAGTTATATGCTTGAATTTTGTAAGGACATTTATTGCATTGCTTCAATTTCAATCAAAATTTAGAATAAAATTTTATCTCAACCGTATGCAAAACATGTAAGGTAGCTACGTAGTGAAGCAGAAAATATGCTGTTAAACGAGAAGCAATTCTCACCTGTTCTTTTCTAGTCCACTTTTATCATTCCTGGTGAGAGTTCGTAAACATCAACTTTTTTTACTGTTCAAATGCCATATTGGTTATACAATTCGAGGACGCATATTATCAACTATGTTAATGCTTTTTGGAGAAAAAGTAGAGGGTTTACGAACTCTTGCTATATTTATCGATATTCTCTGCTTGTGTGTGGTGCTCTGCTGCCGATTGTATTAGCTTTGTAGAATGGAGCCGCCTTCAAAAAATGACCGCTGCTGAGAAGTATGCCAAAAGAAAGAAATGTTTGTATCGAGTCTTTTTTTTTCAAAACTGGGTCTTTTAAGGCCATAATAAATAATTATTCTATAATATTGTCTCTTTTTATTTCAATTTCCCCGAGCATCTTTTTAGGTCAATGTAAACTAAATCATCGCTTGCATGTTAATTTTATTTTATTACCGCCGTTGAACAGCCGATCCAATTTTTGGATTTACCACTACCAATGTTCAACTTCGTAGCTTTGCAATTTTGAACCCAATCCAGAAGACAAGGAAACTCCTGGATCGAGTAATGGAAGAAATCTGCCATCATGGAGGACTTTTTAATGAAACTAATCCGCATGTGCGTTACATGGTGAAGAAAACCTCTCACGGCTAGCCCGATCGCAAAGAGACTCTAACCCATGATCCATCTACCACTAATGATATTTTGCGTCAGCAATATGGTCGGTGCAAGCCGGGTGCTGTATTTGTATCAAGCTGCCATCGCTGGGATTCGAACCCGGTTCACCTCATTGAAAGGCGAGCGCTCAATCCCCTGAGCCACCATGGCTCCTGGGATGTTTATTGACAATTATTAAGACACCATATACTAAATAAAAACCAGTACAAGCTTCGAAAGAAGAATGAAGTCTACTTAATGAAGAACGGTCCGTTCTTCCAGGAACGGGTAGTTGTGCAAATAGTGTCTAAAGTGCCAATAAATATTCACGTGTTTCCAGTGGCGTACGCAAGGGAGGGGTTTAAACACCACCCTTGAGCTCAGAAAAAAAGGGTAAAAATAAAAAAATTTGCAGAAATTATGCGTGCTATTATTTCTTAAGACTATATATTTTTATATGCCTTTTTTTTCTCACGGTATTTCTCAGAATACTGAAAAAACATTTACTATGATAGGGTTGTACTTTTGAAACCAAATTCACGTGATACTGTTACGGACTGGTTCCTTTCTGTCCTGCCAGTATAGTTTTCGAGACTAGCTGTCATTCGCGAGGTCTTTACGCGATGATTCTGGAATCCTAGACGTTCTGTCAATTCGAGAAGTTTGAAGATGTGGTGAAAAATTATATAAAAGGGGGAACGGAGTACAGTGGAGTTAATTAGTCAGACTAAGAGTTATCTCTGCCGCTTGTCTTTCAGAGCTCGTCGCTAAATCTGTTTTGTTTTGTCTTAACAAAAAGTTCATTCAATCGCCGAACCCGTCGTCGCCACTATTTCGACTAGTGGAGAAATCAGTAACAATACCATTGGAGATACTGTGCTCTTTGAAGTTATTCATTCCAGCTCGAAGCTTTGAGATCCTAGCATAGCGGATATTTCTGTGCCAATATATGTATAGATATTTGCTGTTCTTGGATCTTTAGGATGTCAAAACGCAAGACCTGAAATTAGTGAGGTGACAGCATCTAGTACCAATGTAAGTTTTTCTGTTGTACAGAAATGTGATACTTCCGTTGAAGAAAACGTTTCTAGCATAACAAAATCTGATAAATGTGAAAGTGGTCCTCAAAGTGTTACTTCCCACCCATATGACATTGGACTTTTTTCAGAAGATATTTTCATTATGTTCCTAAACTTAAAAAAATCAAATCAAAATTTAACTGAACAATATTGTCTAAATAAAAAGTCAAAATTGTCTAGCTGTCTAAATTAGGGAAATAATAGTGCTTTATTACAGACTCGAATTTCTTTTAGTAGTTTCAGAAAATTATGAACACCCCCCTTGAAAAAATTCTGCTTACGCCACTGCGTGTTTCACACACGTTTTTTTTATTTTTTATCTCATATAAATAATTAAACTTTA